GCATTCCTGCAGTGGCCAATTCGTATGTCCAAGAGTCGAGTTTACGAATCGTACGACTTGAGTCGTTTTCAGGCTCAACAACACAGCATTACGCGATATTCGCTAGACGGGTAAATCATCAGGACAAAGAAGCAGATAGTCTCAGAAATCGGCCTGATAAAAGATCAAAAGCTCGAATTTGAGTGAAGACCAGCAAGTAAATACCTCGTTTATTTTCGAAAATTATCAATTTCAAAAGACATTTGAAGGAGAAACGCTAAAAACCTAGCAGTAATTGCAACGAAAATATGTTAACTTTAAAAATATATCAAATACGTCGCATAGTACTAGAAATCTACCATCTTCAGTATTCAGTCTCCCGCCCTCCATTAACCCACCAACCATCTCCCCTTACCCAACAGAGTTCACATGGCTTGGATACGGCCCCTACACGGGCGTCGCCAGCCCCGAACCAATGCAAAATCGAATTCCAACATAGCTTCAGCATTCTGAATGTTGATGCATTTCCCGTACAGCTTAGATGCAGTTGAAACAGAGGCTTTCTAATTGATAATCGAATGAATACCATGCCAGTAAATTTTTTGCTCCATCTAACCTTAGAGAAACACTAGGAACTGTACCAATATTGACGTTGGATACGATGGCCAGCAAAGGGTCCAAGTAAACAGCGCATTTGCTCGCGTCAACTTCCAGGAAAGAGTTGGGAACGCAGTACTTCTGGAGCACCGCCCTCGGTACAGACTTCCCTCTGAGTCATAACCCCTCATCCCCCCGACCCCAACGCTGCCCCCATCACAACACGTGACTCCTCTCCCTCCCCCGCCCCTACCCTACAAGATAGCAGACGAGCAGCCCAACTCCACGTCACGGCTATCGAACTAAATAAAGAACATTCATGAAAATACAGCAGACAGCCCAGATACTGGGCTCGTTCAGAGCAATTAATTGACAATGAATTATTTTAACAAATTACTTTCTTTTACCGAAATGTTTGTTCTAATAAAACGACTGGATACATACAACACAAAATGGGCAGACACATAAAATTCTTCATCTGCCAATCACTAACTTGTGCTATCAACAAATATGAAATCGAGCAGAAAATTATAGTAATTACGCTTCATTTTTCATTATGAAAGACAAAGCTTAGTTAGCTTAATAGCATCGATCGTAAGTCGTGAAACCCAATCAGCATGAACATGGAGAGATTTGGAGATACAAAACAAGACGATAGGTAAAAACTACAATTGAGGAGAAATGAAATCGATTAGAGCGTCTTAAAGCCAGAGAAATTATCCAACAGCGAACGCATCTCTATACAAAGAAGAGTACCTAACACACTAGTCTATTACAACTGTCGCTTAGTAATAATAACCGATCATTTAGACAGGAAAAAGTAGCTAGTGATAGATTAGGATGTTATACATGACATTTTTGTAGACTAGGTATAATTTTTAGAAGAAGACGACAATGAATATCGAGCGTTGAAGCAGTTCATCAATGAAAATATATACTGTTATCTTCGGTCAATGCACTCGGTGTGCTCAGTAATGAATCTCTCTCATATTGAAGAAAGCTGTTGTTCTGCGCTTCAATTGTTTCGAACCTTGGAAAACACCCAAAGACTTGAATTATAGTGGAGGCGTATCAGAAAGCCCTCAGCTATAATTTATGCCAAATATTATAAAATCACCCATGAAACCTATTGATTGGCGATGAATATTATTAAATGGATATGCATGAATACGCTGAGGAGAGACATAAGGTAGAGCGGTAGTACAGCGGAACTGACAACGCAGGAAACGTGCGTCCAGAAGAGTTGGTGAAGCAGTGAAGCTTGCATCATTACGAGCGGCGGTAGCATCGATCTTGCCGGCTGCAGTGCGACACGACCAGATACGTTCTACGAGTTCTGGCAGTAAAAGACAGGCGTGTAGAGTGAGTGTAGCGTTGTCACAGCTACAGCCACAAGATACAACGTGCTGCGACACGACCAGATACGTTCTACGAGTTCTGGCAGGAAAAGGCAGGCAGACTTTCAGAGAGTGTAGCGTTGTCACAGCTACAGCCACAAGATACAACGAACAGTGGACGACCCTAATATGGAGCAAGCTATAAGAGTAGAGTGAAGTGGGTATGAAGGCCAGGTAGACGCTGCCCGGAGCTAGACATCCAGACACGAAGTGAACGAGGTGAGGCGGCAGCGGCCGAAAGAAGGACGCCAGCTAATACACTAGAGTGGCTGCTGATAAGTGATGGGTGGGGCAGCAGTGCCACATCACCAACACTATCAGACAAGCAACACGCACAGCATTACGCGCCCCCAGTACTGCAGGCTGTACCACGCACAGCATTACGCGCCACCAGTCCTGTAGGCTGTACCACTAAACTACAAAACATATGATTTTATATCAATAAACAAACTTATTTTAGGCGCAATAGTGATAGTACAAAGACGCAGGAATTGTAAGCACAGGATGATACAAGTCTTGGTTCGAAGACTACGGGTAAGATAGAAGACGGTTTCCGTGGGATCACGGAGCAGGTAGCGTGCCTACGGGACCTAATGAGCACCCAAAAATAGGTAAACATCAGCAAACCCAATGAGCAGGTACAAAAATTCCTCGCGGGAGAAGGATGGCCTGTGTATGGAACCATGCGCCTCGTGACAGCTTTTTAATGCCAAGTGTGATCCGTATATCCAGAAGGTGCGGAATAAGATTGTAGAATAAATACTAAATAGAATATGCGGACAGAGAGGAATGCCTCATGCGCTCCTCTTCGCCTAACTTGTCTGTGCTGGACCTGTCAATCTACAAATTATGCAACCCTATTTCTGTACGTGGCGGATCAGTAAGCCACTCGATATGAATGAAAACCATAGACATCGTGCTTCAATTTCATTAAATTTATTTTCTTGTATTCGAGCAAGTTTTCTGAAATCTAATTTTTTGCATCCCAAACGTGCTGCATTTAGGGATTGCTTTGCGTTTCTACAAAAAAAGTAGGCGATTGATAGCTCATTGCGTCGTTATTTCAAAATTGATGAACATATGTTAACGGCAAATACATGCCACAGATATGGGTTATTTTTGCAATCGTTTTCAGAAGCACTTGGCAGCTACGTGGCTACGTGGAAATATTGCGTTGTGCCATAAACAGAATATATTTTAATGTCCTTTAGAATAATTGTACACTTCCAATCAATTGCAGTATATGGTGACTCGGTTCTTCGGGGATAATTTCGATCAGAACTAAACATGAATTTCACGCAGCTCAATGTCGTACAGGTACTGACTGTCACATGACGCATTAGTCGCCACTCAGAAGAAACTGCACTTACCGCACAGCTCGTCAGTACAAACCGTATAATACTGTTCAGAACTACGCTTCGTAGGGTTCAGAACCACACCGAACCGAAGTCGTTGTTATTGGGCTCAAAAAATGTGGTTCAGATTTATTTATGAAATGAATCGTTTTTATTAAAGGCCAGCGACGTAAGTGCTGTGACGACGTAATCGACATAAACAGTAAACTGAAAAAGCTCAATGCTGGGTAGACTTATTCACTGCTGCCCGAGCTATACTAGCATAAAGTGATACATTTCCTATTAACGAATAGTCACGTCTCTATTTGAACCCGTAACGTACGATACGTCGTAACATGGACGTGGACGTAAATTCAGATGCGTAGAATACGTGCAAGAAGTGTATCAAATACGTGCGTCACTTTTTACTTTGAAGATATGCGATTGAAACTCACGATTTCTACAAGGATTCTTTGTTGTACTTCGTAATCAAATAGCATCGTTTCATAAATCCAAGTCAGAACAACGTGACGATTCTCTTTTACTCTACTTACGTTCAAAACGTTGACTAAAAATTACTAAGTTTGAGACAACTCCAGTCAATAACCCTAACAAATGTTGCGCAGTGCTGGTACCTAGAAGTTGACCGATGAACAGGACCGTACTGGACCTTTAACATCGTAATGTTGAAGTCAGAAGCATTTATATCAACATAACTATAAAACAATATGTATTATGTAGTTATAACTATACGGGTAAGTCTCAATACGTAGATCACGTGTAGCAAGAAGCAAGGATCTCAAAGCACAACGACATAGACGGTGATAGACCGACAGTTGAGCGGTGGCGTCAGGAACAGCGACGAAAAAAAATGTCGGCAAACCAGACTAGAATTCGTTGGCTGTAGATGCGGTAATGGTCTACACTATGAGACAACACTATTAATATATCATAAACATCAATGCAAATTGCAACAGATGAGTAGAAGCAAGACGTCTAATTGCAGAGCATAACGCACTAATTAGACGACTTGCTTGATGCTTCTAGTGCTACTGATCTGCGCACCAGAATGAAAAGATGTGCAGTAAAAGTAAAACAGTTAAAAATGTCAGCAGGTAACAAAAGATTTATTGGCAAGTATTGAGTCGATATTTTCTTGGCGAAGGTAGATTCTTTAAAACGATTCGCGAGAATTCAAAGGAAGTTATTAAAGCCCTAAATACTTACTAAAGTAGTCCACTGATTATACCTACAATCCTTGCCCTAAATTGTTAACACTGAACTTTGAAGCAATATCAATATGGAAGTTAATAATGGAACTTGCTCACCGTCACCAGAACGATAAATCAATAAGTGATATTTCACTACACTTTCTCTACACTAAAATTAAGGTCTCAGACCTGAAATACGTTTAAAATTTTCAACCAAACAACTAGGTACCAAATTAGGTAGGTAGGCCTATTCCTAGGAATAATTCAATATTAAGGCTAGCAAATTAATTATGCGTGAAAACTAAATCATCTCTTATGAACTTCCTGAACTTCTGAGTTCTTGGGTATATTACTACATTTAACAACTATTGGCAAGTAATTAATTAATATTAACAAGAGGAGCACAGCGCGCCACAAACGTAGATCGCAGCGAAGCAGACGGCAATGGACTGACATGACAGTGAACGTCAAGGAGCACGTACCGTTTAAAGTGATCCCTTATACGTTCTTCACTTATATTCTCCGGTAAGTTTCCAACCCAGAGATGTCGTGTCTCTCTCACCATTTTGCTTCAACGTAAACATGGGTGAATATCATCCCATCACTCTTGAACCACTAAACACTTAACACACTCATATATTCTTATTGGTTGAGACTTGACACACACTCGCTTCACTGTCTCAAGCGTAACTGATGGCCGAGTTGGCTGTAGAAGTGGCACGCAGCAAATGTTAAGCTTCCCAACTAGTAAAAGAGTCTGACTCGCGCGAACAGAAAACTGGTTCTTGGATAAAGCGAGTTTAGAGAAGCTCAACTACATGTAAATAAGCCAAAATTATCACTTCACTCGTCAGTAGAAGCAAACCTATAAAATAAATGAATAAAACTAATAAAAAATATTGATGCAAAGTTTTATCATGTGATAAGCACCTCTATTCATCTTATTATTATATTTCATAGGTGAATGGAACAATCACAAAAACGAGTTTATCCATTCACCTCAAAAAGCAAGGGGAATTTTTTCATACATGGATACATAATTGTTGCAGGACCAGATATGATAAGTATTTCCGTGAAAAACGTAAAAAAATACTTTGCATCCTATCCTTTGGTGTTTTTGATCGTGATGTCTTTAATTATGAAAATTTCACCATAATTCATGTGTTCAATACACTGTCAAAAACGAGTTTATCCATTCACCTCAAAAAGCAAGGGGAATTTTTTCATACATGGATACATAATTGTTGCAGGACCAGATATGATAAGTATTTCTGTAAAAAAATACTGTGCATCCTATTCTATGGTGTTTTTGATCGTGATGTCTTCAATTATGAAAATTTCACCAAAATTCATGTGTTCAATACACTGCTTAAGCAATACCTTCATGCATGATTTAACAAATCAAACCCAATGGCTTTAGTAAACAAAAATTCACTGTAATTGATAGAGATGCAACATGCATTTCATTTCAAATAAATACATAAATATATACAGCAGTTTCAGCGTTTATATGCCGTAGGCCTATCGCCGATTCTCAACATTACAGAACATTCACAGCATGTTGCGGCCTCAAACTTCCAATTCACTGCTCCAATTCTGCCGTGCTTAACCGCCCGGCCTCCTTGCCGATTCAGACCAGAAACTGGCGCACTGAACTGGGTTCGAACCCGCACCTCTCTGCTCCAATCCCGGTACTCTAAACTTCAACCACAGGGCCACCCTGGCCATGCCACTCGTAACACTGTCGTAAAATTTTACCACCCTCCAAATTAACGTGAAGAAATCGACTTGAATGTTCTAACTCTAAACCTGGGTTTGGCGGCAGATGATGTTCAACGAACGTACATGAAACGTATTACTTGATACTTGATAAGTTCAGTGTAAAAGGCCTTGCGGCCTGTTCACCACGCCTGGTTGGGGGGTTTCTTCTTGACTATTTGGCCTGGTTGGGTTGCTTCTTGACTACTTGTCAAATGCGTGGCTAGCAGTTAGTCTAGAAGTGCCAAAAGGGGAGCTAATGACAACATTCGGGGTCGTACCGTTCTCTGCGTGTTGCCCAGTGCTTGTCGAGCCTGATCTTGAAGGCGTTAATAGAGGGGGCAGTGACGGCGCTGTCCGGCAGGCTGTTCCATATTGACACGACTCTGTAGGAGAAGTAACCGGCTCTGACGTTCAGTCTGCAGCGGCCCTTGGCGAGCTTCAGGCTGTTCCCGCGGGTATCTATGCTGTCGTGAAGGTGCAGCTGAGAGCGGTCAACTTCGTAGGCACCGTGGACGTACTTGAAAACGTCGATTATGTCCCCCTTAGTCTTCTGTGCTCCAAGCTGGGTAGACCGAGCGAGGCGAGGCGTTCTGGGTACGCCTTGTCCATGAGGCTTGCAATAAGTTTGGTTGCCCTCCTCTGAACGTCCTCCAGGTCGGAGCACAGAGTCTTGTGTCTTGGCTGCCAGACTGAGTGGCCATACTCGAGCATTGGTCGAACGAGGGATTTGCAGAGCTGGATGAAGATCTCAGGCGTGATGCAGTCGAATGTTCGCCTTATAACACCCAGTACTCTGTTCGCCTTAGCTGTTGCTTGCGCTACTTGGCCTTTAAAGCTC